TTTGTCGGTCCACCACAGAACTACAAACCCATCAACCTCACCTCTGTGCCGGGAAGATCATGGAACAGATTCTCCTAGAAGGTATGCTAAAGCTCATGGAGGGCAGGGAGGTGATTCAAGGCAGCCAGCATGGCTTCACCAACGGCAAGTCCTGCCTGACCAGCCTAGTGACCTTCTATGATGGAGTGATCACATCAGTGAACAAGGGAAGAGCTACTAATGTCGCCTCTCTGGACTTCTGTAAGGCCTTTGACATGGTTCCCCACAACATCCTTCTCTCTAAATTGGAGAGATGCAGATTTGATGGGTGGACTGTTGGGTGGATGAAGAATTGGTTGGATGGTTGCATCCAGAGGATAGTGGTCAACAGCTCAATGTCCAGATGGAGACTGGTGACGAATAGTATCCTTCAGGGGTCCGTACTGGGATCAGTACTCTTTAATATCTTCATCAATGACATAGACAGTAGAATCGAGTGCACCCTCACCAAGTTTGCAGACGACACCAAGCTGAGTGGGGCAGCTGACATGCCTGAGGGACGGAATGTCATCCAGAGGGACCTGGGCAAGCTTGAGGAACAGGCCTGTGTGAGCATCATGAGGTTCAACAAGGCCAAGTGCAGGGTCCTGCACCTGGGTCGGGGCTACCACCAGTATCAGTACAGGCTGGGGGATGAAGAGGTCGAGAGTAGTCCTGCCGAGAAGGACTTGGGGATATTGGTGGATGAAAAGCTGAACATGAGCCAGCAATGTGCGCTCACAGACCAGAAGGCTAACCTTATCCTGGGCTGCATCCAAAGTAGTGTGGCCAGCAGGTCAAGGAATGGGATTCTGCATCTGCTGAGGGGTGAGATCTGGGGATCGACTCCACTCTCGGGAGACCTCAGCTGGAGTACTGCGTCCAGCTCTGGAGCTCTCCCCATGGGAAAGACATGAACCTGTTGCAGCGGGTCCAGAGGAGGGCCACAAAAATGATCAGAGGGATGGAGCACCTCTCCTACGAGGGCAGGCTGAGAGAGGTGGAGTTGTTCAGCCTGGGGCAGAAAAGGCTCTGAGGAGACCTCATTGCAGACTTCCAGTACTTAGAGGAGGCTTCTAAGAAAGATGGGGCAGACTTTTGAGCTGGCCTGTAGCAACAGGACAAGGGGTAATGGTTTTAAACTAAAAAAGGGTAGATTCAGACTAGATATAAAGAAGAAATTTTTGACGGTGAGGGTGGTGAAACACTGGCACAGGTTACCCAGGGAGGTGGTAGATGCCCCATCCCTGGCAACATTCCACGTTAGGTTGGTTGGGGCTCCGAGCAACCTGATCTAGTTGAAGATGTCCCTGGTCATTGCAGGGGGTTGGACTAGATGAACTTTAAAGGTCCCTTCCAACCCAAAGATTCTATGATTCTATCTAAATGGAAGCAAACAAACAGCTACTTCTGACATAATATGATGGTCATTTCAACATAAAGTCTCCTTAGGGAAAAATGGACTTTTCTACAAAAGGACATAATCAAATTCAATACTTGCTTGATTTCATTGTCTTTCCAGGATAAATAGAAGACATCATTTTAAAGGAACAGAAATACTCTATGGTAATTCTTGTGTGCAAGCATGTAGAGATTTTTTTTTCTGGCTGCTGTAGCTAAAATATAAATCATTTTCTGCTGTGATGTCAGGAAGTGTATTGCACTAAATTAATCACGAGCTACTTTAAAAAAGGGACAAAAAAATGCACTGCAAAATGAAACAAATCTCTCTGTGCCTGTTTTCCATTTGCATTGTCATCACTTACCTTTAGAGGACGATGGAAGTGAGATGGGAATGATGCTGAAATGCATTCAACAGACCCTGCGTGTGTGTGTGTGTGTGTGTGTTAGCATCTTTAATGCTCTGTGCTGTGCCTCCAGCCATTGGAAAACATAAAGTATTATAACCTGCACACAGTATAATCTTCACTCTTTGCCAGGCTTCTAGCACAATGATACACTATATCAAACTAAATGCAGAAGCACATAGACTACAAGCCAAGCTGTGTGTCGTCTTCTAACATTTCCCAGTCCCAGACGTATTCTGCTGGGGTAGATAAAAGTCTTTCTGTCTCATTATAAAAGAAGAGGAAAGGCAATTCATAAGGGAAATGGAGTAATTTTGGAAACCTTTTCCTAATAAGCGCAATAGTTCAGCAGATGTGCACAAGTGGGGAAAGCTGGGAGCGCAAAGATCAGGCAGCTCCATCAACCATCATACAACTGTGACTCGGCCTGCTTTTATCTTTTATGTCAAGCAATCAAAAGAAAAGCCAATTTTATTTACTGAGTGAAGGGCAAATAAACTCATGACAATTAAAGAACAGAAATTATGTCTCTGTGGTTTAGACTGGAAGCATTTTAAAGATAAAAAATCTTCAATAATTCACTCAGACAAGGCTTCTAGATCCTCGTCTGTCTTCCTTTGCTCCCAGGGCAGGATAGGCATGTACTGAGCTTTTTGTTAACTCTCTCTTTTCAAACTCTCAACTCACAAACTACACCATCCAAGAGGTGCTAGTAATATTTAATATCCCTGCTTTAATAAAGTAATTTTCAAAATGTTTCTGGGAAGACACACTTCTCTGGACGACAAGAAATAACAGTTAAAGTCAGCCTCAACATTACAGTTGACTTTGAAATCAGAAAGAGCTTACCAAAATATTTTGATGTCTCTTCCCCCTGTCTCCTCAGTCACCAAAAGTACTTTTTCTCTAGGTGATCACAAACCTTCCCACTTTTCTCACTGTTGGCTGCTCAGGTCTTTATTAGCTTAGGACCATCTTCTTCCGATTCCTGACTCAGAAAAGCTCATCATAATATAATTCTAAGCCTGTATATTAATTCTTAACAAAAGCAGCTCAAAACGTGCTCAAATGCTACTGAAATTGGGCTGTGTGGTTCTTCTCCTCGCACAGTAACTTACTATCTCCCTCCACAGCAAGCCACACTTACCGGTAAAATGTGGTATAATCCACTGTTGAATGACAGCTCTGAAACTCCCATGCTTTGAGTTTCTGGCATTCCCGGTGAGCTCGGAGTTTCACCCTGACCGTCCCATGACAAAGCTCAGGCACAGGTTTTCTCTGCGGGCGGCTGCAGAACTCGTTGGACTCCACGCGCCAGGATTCAGCAAAGTCGTCCACATCAAACTTAAAATTCCCATCCCCACCAATCAAGTCATCTCGCTTGTGCCCATTGTAATTGCCACACAGACCACAGAGTTTGCCTTTCAGATGTGGAGCAGCCATGACTTCCACAAAACTGTCTCCATCCCATGAGATTTCCAAGCCTAATAGAGAGATGAGACAAAAACACACACCAAAAAAAAAAAAAGAGATGAAGAAGAAATTGAGGATAACAAACTGTGCCCTATGTTCGTGAAATAGCATTCATGGGAACCTAAACAAAGTCATTAGCTTCCTTCTGATAATGTTGATGGATTTCTATATATCTCCCAGTAAGTGTCTCTGGAAAGTGTAGTGTTTCTTAAATCACATTCAATTACAATGCACTCAATGCCTGTCTCTATTTTTGTTCCTACTTGCTAATGAAACAGTTATCCTAAAAAATCTGTATCCAAGACAGAACTACTCTCAACATCAAAAGAGGGATCTTGCAAAATTCTGCAAATTGAATTTGCTAGGGTGAATTTCTAGCTGATTTTGCAGGGAGCCCAGAATTTCAACCATTGTCATCCATTGCACAGGTCATGAGCATAAAAAGACGTCCATGTCCCATGAGACTGCACCTCACCAAGGTGATGACCTTGTGGAAAACATCCTTTTCTTGCCTGCAAAGCTGACACTGATCACTCGTTTAGATGAATACAACTGTTCCAACACAAGTACCTTATTTTGCATGGGTAAAGATGGTTAAAAAAGATGACCGCAGAGATATGTCAGATGGGTAAAACTGTTGTAAGAAGGCATTCTATCCTGGGCTGCATCAAAGGAAGCATGGCCAACTGGTCAACGGGGGTGTTGCTGCCCCTCTAGTCTGCTCTGGGGAGACCCTACCTGGAGTCCTGCATGCAGCTCTGGAGCCCTCAGCACAGGAAAGACATGGACCTGTTGCAGCAGGTCCAGAGGAGGACCACAAAAATGATCAGAGGGATAGAGCACCTCTCCTATGAAGAAAGGTTAGGAGAGTTGGGGTTGTTCAGCCTGGAGCAGAGAAGGCTCTGCGGAGACCTTATTGTAGCCTTCCAGTACTTAGAGGGGGCTTCTAAGAAAGATGGGGCAGACTTTTGAGCTGGCCTGTAGCAACAGGACAAGGGGTAATGGTTTTAAACTAAGAGAGGGTAGATTTAGATATAAGGAAGAAATTTTTGACAGTGAGGGTGATAAGTCACTGGCACAGGTTGCCCAGAGAGGTGGTAGATGCCCCATCCCTGGCAACATTCCAGGTCAGGTTGGATGGGGCTCTGAGCAACCTGATCTAGTTGAAGATGTCCCTGCTCATTGCAGAGAGGTTGGACTAGGTGACCTTTTAAAAGGTCCTTTTCAACCCAAAGATTGTATGATTCTATGATTCTGAACTAGATTCAAACTGTTCATTCAAAAGGTGTTAATTACGAACCTTTTGAAGTTGTCATCGTAAGTCAGCAACATTGAGGAATGATGGTAAACATCCAACCATCTAGTGGCTGAAATGTAAGTGCTCTGCTACAATCTGTTCTACAGTAAGTTTTTGCACTTCTAGTACTTCAAAATCAAAATTGCCTTCTGTGGGTGAAATCCATTTTATCTTTCTGTACCCATCTAAAAGCTAAGTGTCTAGCTAAAGTCAGCTGTCTGGGCCCTCTCTTTGATGGAGAGAAATAGGCTGCAATGGGTGATAACACGGATGTCTAATGCAGAGTGAATAAACTACCTTCTGAATGCCTTTATCCTTCCTGCGATACTCTAGAGGGCCCAGAGATCAGGTAGAGACCAAACTTCTAGTTTTTACCTGGGTGACTGTAAATTAAATGAATTCCATCCTTTGAGGAGTAAATATGTATCTCATAAGGGAAAGCAATTTTGATATCATAAGGGATAAAATCAACACCAAGAATCACTGCTGCTTAACTTCTACCTAAAAATGTCCTTTCTTTTAATTATTTCCAATGTCTGATGAATGCTACTAGTTCACATGTCTGCAGTAACCCTGCATCTGAAGTTGACAAATCATTTTGCTGATGTTAGTTTATTCCCATAAAGTACCTGTGTGCAGCAGTTAGTTAAGGATAAACACAGGAACCTGCTTTTAAACAGGATAATCCAGATTCTACCCTCTTCTCCCTGCCTGGCCAAGAATACCAAACAGCATCACTCCACGATGCAGGACCAGGACCTCGCTCCAGCTTTCTACATTTGCTGTGTGGGCTGGCTTAGCACCACCCTTTCCTCTTGTAAATCAGTGGTTGTCACTATGTGATCCAAATCCTGCCTTATCTTCATGTAAGTAATTAACATACCAGTGACTCAGTTCAAAGCTGGAACCCTTCCTTTAGCAACACATCCCGTTGTCTCCTATGACAATTCCTACACGTGCCACAGAGAAACAGGGTGAAGCTCAAATGGCAATTATGGCTATAGAAGGGGTGCTTTGCCATCGGTACCTACTGTCCCGGCTCTTGTGTGGTTTACACCATGTCACCAAGAGTTTGGGGGATGATTTACCTAGCAAGGTTTAACAAACAATTCTGCATCACCAGTCTCTACAGTCTATTGCATCATGTTTTCTTATCACCACAGGTTAGCAATTATAGCACAAATATGTCCTGAGCTGACTATGCCTGAAAGTCATAGGCAATTGGCATAGGCAATAATTTAGTCAAATTATCTAATTAACCCAGCATGGATAGGGCCACTGTGTCCTCCTCCAAAGGCACTTTACACCCAGAAAACTGAGAAATTGTGCAAGACTACAATTGTTAACGAGGCCAGCACAGTGGCAAGGGGGAAAGCTGCCTTTTAAGCTGCTTCATACATTATCATTGCTGGACAAATTCAAATTCCAGCTGTCTTTGCTTCTGACAACGCTGAACAAAACAAAACACAGCTTGATTTGCAGACACCAGATTAATACTGCTGTGCTGGCATTTAGAAAAACTTTGCCATTAACTTATAAACCAAGATTTCTTCAGACTTGAGAATCATATAAACTTTCTCAAAGCTAGAAGCATCATGATACAAATTCTCACACAGTTCTCTTCTGAAAATAACTGCAGTTTTGAAGGTGGTGTTCAACTTCTTTCCCAAATGAGCTCTCCCTGACTTTAAGCAGAGTCACAAAAGACTGGCTAATGATTCTATCTTAATTTTCCTTTCACAGCTTTTCTTCTCAAGCCAAGACTTACTGACTTTCAGTGAAACCACTCACATTTATTACAAAAAGTTAACTCGAAAATTATACTGAATATTTGTGTGTCCTTTGTGAGAATTAAGTTAATCTTGTTACATGTTGCTCTGTGAATTCTAGGTATGCAGATAAGAGTAAGATAAAATTATGACTTTTCATCTCAGCATATAAAAATGTACATTTTTAAATCTAGAGAGTCCTGCTTTGATTACTGGATTTGATTCAAGAGATTCACAGTTTAACTACCACAAAAGGATGTACTTTCCTGTAGCTGGGTACTGTTTAATTACACTATATTCTGCTGTAATTGCTCAGAGAGAAGGGTAATTTCTAGCTCTGATGAACAGGCTAACGGTTTCTGTCCGTAACTGAGCTTACTCCGTTTTGGAGTAACGAGGAAGGGTATTTACTCCTACACACATGATAGCTTTGTCGGAGCCTGATGGCACCATGCAGTATGCGCCTTTTTGTTTGTTCACAAGCAGAAATTTCAATTGGTTTCTGTAAACCAACAAGAGCTGTGACAGACAGGATTATGCTATGGAGCGATGTTTGAAATGGTCTACTTGGCAGACAGAAATTGTTTGGAAGATCTTCTTGGTGCCTATGCCCCCCTCTTCTTCCCCCCAAAATGGATGAGTTTCCCATTCACTTGGACAAGGGTCAGAATCCAAGAGATGTGAAGCCAAAGGATGCAGCTTCTGTCCCGTCTGGGGATGTGCAGAAAAGGAATATTCTCAGAGTTACTTTTTAGGGTTTTCCAATTTTCCCCTTTCTTTGAAGGATGCTTAATCAACTTGTTACTTGATTTCTTAACTTGGCACAGGATGTGCTCTACTGCATTTAAAAAAAATCCTTCTGGATTTATGCACATCACACATTGAGCTCCCCAGGCTGGGAACTCCCATCAATTGTTCTGCATAATTTTTCATGGTAAAGGCATCCTCCAGAACTGGCAGACCACTCTTCCCTAAAGATTTAGTGCCAAAGTGGTACAGAAAACCTCAGCAAAGAGGTTTCATGCAAAAGATCAGCACAGAAACAACAACAACAACAAAGTGCTCCTGCACTGGAGAGACAGATAAGTAACACCAGCCCTGTGACCCTCTGCGCTCTCATCTTTTTAACACACAAATTTTAGACAAGAACTCAACATCATCCCAACCCATGACAAAGTACCTGCAAGTGCAGGGTGCTAGAATTGACGCTGCATTGCATCCAGGGCTACAGCTGGTGAGGAATTTAGCAACAAAACAGGTTTTCACTGGAAAATGCCAATTCATCAGAACTGAAATGCTTCAGGGAGATATATCGGATTCAATGAACTTCCAACACAGCACAGGCAAGACTCCAAGCTGGTTTCCTGCCAGCTCGCCTGGTGGGCTGCCTGGAAGCCTAGACTCTCAGGGTATACGACTCCAGGACCGCCCTGCCATGCAGGTTGCCCTGTAGCCAGGGACCTCAAGGCTTCCTGAAGCTTTGGGCTCCCCTGTTTTACCCAGGGCTCAGCTCCCAGCTCTGCAAAAGGAAAACCAAAAGCCGTGGGAATGTTGGCTGAGCTGTAAGCACCAGACCTTGCGTTTTTTACTTTGAATTTTGCTTCTAGTGCAGTGGTTTTGCTTATTTTTCATTACTTCCTCCCTCCCCCTCTTTTTTTACCCTACACTCGGAAAGCATGTATTTTTTTAAAAATCCATGTTTCATTCCGAAGCAGAGAAAATTCTCCATTTTTTTTCCCCACAGCACTCGGAATTTCCTGTGGAACAAAAAGCTTGTCTTTAAAACCAGTTCTACTCAGCACATTCCTCCTCTCTGCAGCCTCTCTGCTGCTTGTCCTCTCCCAGCAAAATGGAGCTATGCCGTTCTGCTGCTTTCCAGGCCTTACGTGCTGAGGAGAGGAGGGCTTGGCCCATTGTGCTGCATTCGGCAAGAGAAACCTGATCCTGCTCCGTTAAGGGGAGGAATTATTTAGGCTATAATTTGCAGTGATTACACACTGTTTGGTATGTTGTCATATGCCATGTTTGCGCTCTCTCTGCCAACACATGGACAAGGATGTGTGTAGTCATTTATTAGGCTTGCACCAGAGACAAATGGAATAGCAGCAGGATTAGCTGTCATTCATCTTCGATTGAAAACCTTTCCTTGGCCTGTGGTTGGCTAATGAAATCCACATCACCAGAATTCATAGCGTTCAGCTGGCTGCAAAGAGAAACCCTCAAGATGCTTTTAATTAGAAGTTGTGAATAATGGTCAACTTGTGTGCATTTTACAGACAGCCACAAAAATCTGCATTGCCACTTTGAGGAATGAGCCCAGAGCTGGGATCCACATTATGCACACTTACATTTCCAGGGGCTATATGAACAGGTGTCTAAATTCTCAGCTCAACAGTGGGTGTTAGTATCCCCCTTGAAAAAAATTATGCTAGATAATGAGTATGACTATGCGTCATGCCTGTGACCATATCACTCCATAAGAAAGACTGGTTTCACTGCTTTCACATAGCATTTAATTGAATTAACAGTAAATAGTATTCTCACTGAAACAGTACTTCACTGTGTAAGTGAAATCTCTCAGGACTACAGTAGTACCTAACACATGCTAATGAGAAAGTTTTAAACTTCCTCTCAGTATTTATCTATGCAAGGATACTGTAGTTTCAGAACAGTTTATCAAAATAAATGTAAGTCCTCTGGTTTAGCATTTTGACAATGTATTTTCTAGGACTCAAAAGACTTCAGAGTCTGCTATTTCCCTTCCCTGTTTCTACAAATAAGGCACCAGATTCTCTGAAGTTTCTGATTTCCTTTTGCTTCTGGTGCTGTAGACTGTCTGTTCCTCTCAGACAAACTCTTACTCAGGCACAAAGCACACCTAGCAAGATGGCACTGAACAGCAAATTAGGCCTTGGTTTTCACACCAGGACCTCCATTTTGCTGGATAGCCCCACTGAAATGTTTCCATAATGACAACTCATGCCTGCCATTAGTAACTATGATTTTATATAATTGCTGACTTAGACTCTAAGGCATGTTGCTGCAACAGGGAAAAAAATCTGAATGTTATGATACAGAACTGATCTCCTCTCTGTTCTGATTATAAGTATCAAACGATGACCCTGCATAAGCCACTGAAGTTACTGGAAGTGAAAATCATGGCACATACCTCTACGCCGGCCATTAATTGTCAGCTGCAGAATGAAACATAGCTTAGCAAAGATTCTGCAAAGACTTCAAACTCATAGCTGGAATCTCTTTCTACTTGTGGGCTGCAGGGGTTTTGAAAGCACTTTGTGTTCCTCGGGTCTCTGAAGAGTTGTAACTACATTTATTACCATTATCATGCTTTTTTACTGACTGCTCATGCTGCACTTGAGAAGTTCTTCAGGGAGAAGACACACACACACTTGCCCTACCTGCTTTGGTTGTCACTTTCAGCAAATAACCATCCAAATCGATCTGAAATTGCGGTGTCTTGCAAGGTAGTGAGATGCGGGTCCCATTCCACTTCACTGTGAGGTGCTGCTGAAGGCTGATAGTGCTTCTGCCCAACACAAGGTCCACTGACTTTGTCCAGGAGAAAGAACGGGTCCGACGGGCATCGTTTTTTACCAGCACCTGAAAGGGTGAGGCAGAGGAGGAGCAGTCTTTTGTCAAAACGTACTGACATGTTCCCTGAAAGTTAAATGTCCGTCCATCAAAAGTGTTGTAGTGAGGGTCTCCAAATACAGTGCAAACTCCAGGCTCTGCAGGTGAGTGAGAAACAAAAGCGCTATATCAGGATCAAAGTTTGAAAAAAGCAGTTGATAAGAACTTAGATGATGCCGCTCTCACCTAATCTATCTGCCTTACAGGGCAGATTTGGCTGATGCCCACTAGGAATATATATTTTTGAAAAACAGAAGCTTCACGGCTTTCGTAGAGGTCTTCCCCAAAGCAGGTGAGAACCAAAAGCCAATTGATCCTCAGGACAGCATAGGAAAGGCTAACCTGTAGCTAAGAACCAAAGACCCATCTTCCAACCTATGTGTTTGTCTCTTAAACATAAGGTACCTCCCTGAACATCTTACAATATTACAATGCCTGTGAAATTTTTTAAATTATTTAATTTCCAAAAAATACAAGCCCCACTCATGATATCAGAGCAGGCAGAGCCCTGGGCTTGCAGACCCCACATGTCTCTGGAGATGTGTGACGGGAGCTTTCCCACCTAGCTTCAGCTTTCCAAACATGAAATGTCTAGTCTAAGCAATTCATCCAGTCTCCCTCTCACTGACAGAGAGGAACAGACGACTAGAAAGTCTTTCATCTCAGCAAGTTTAGACATCTCTCTTAATACATTGGGAATTGGTCTCTGGAGGAGCCCGTCTCTGCTGATGGCTCTGGGAGCACAAACAAGTATGTAAGACAACAAGCATTCCTCTCAGACAATTAAATTCCCCTGGGATGAGCTCCCACCCATAAGTTCTGCCATGGGAGCAAAAGCCTAATCCACTAACAGAAGCAGAATTCAAAACATCACATGTATATTTTTGAGGCTAATTTTAATGTCCTTAGTTAGGCAGTGGTGATCCCCTGAAATTAAAAGCCATCAGACCACTTCAGCAGGGCCTGGTTCTGTCCATATTTTACATAGACATATTTATAAATATTTTACATTTATAGACTAGGTAAATTTATGTTGTTTCCCAAATTAGCTGTAGAACCAGCATCTTTATTTAGTGTTACAAGCCATCATACATGTTGTTCATACACAACTGACTTGTAGTAGTTATTGTTATTATGCTACCAACTAAAAGTCAGTAGTACGTGACTAACATGATACAATGACTATCTAAGGGCACGCTATCGCTACCGATCATTTGCATCATTACAAATGGAGTGAGATTTCTTATTGATGTTTGCAGCCATATGCTGGGCAGTGAAGCTGCAGCTCAAAAGGCAGAACGTTTCCACACTCATGTCAACGATGCTGAGTTACCCTGCAGCTACCCAGCAACTGATTGAATTGCCTCACAATCAAAGAGAGCAGCAAATTTATTTGCATTGCAGCCTTCTGGTATAACAATAGGGCCTAACCACATCTCATTGCTGCTGTTCCTGGAAGAAGGAATCTCAAGGCAGAGAAATGCATACTGCTACTGCCAGTTGGATACCCATGGGCTGAGATTGCTTTTGAAAGATGATGCCTGTTTTAGGGGGAGGGCATGGTGCAGAAACAAAATTCAACTCAGTAAACAGAGAGCTGTGAACAGCGTCAATTTAAAAAAAAAAAAAAAAGGGGGGGAGAGTAATAAGGGATACAATTTATTCACTGAAAAAAAATACCCAACTAACAATGGCCTGCATGAAAAGGCAGCTACAAAAAGGCAAATTCAAACTTACAAAAAAGAAGGACACATGGATGTTATGAGGAAGAGGCAGGGAATTCCTTTGGTAGAGTGCAATGCTGCTCTGAGTATGCAATACACCTTTCTCAGCAGGGTTTTTCAGCCTGGGCAGAGTGCTATGCTAAAACAGCTATAATGTTTCTGGTGTTTTTATAGCTGTAGTTAAAGAGCATCCAAGGTTACCTACACGGAGACACAGAAGATGGGGCTGAGGGGGGCCCCAGGAGACATCACCTTTTCCTTTTCTGGCTGTAACGCAGAATCCCCTGTACCCTAGTTATTCCTGACATTTATCTAACCTGCTCTTAAAGAAGAGCAGTAACAGCAACTCCACAGCTGCCTCCAGCAACCTGTTGCAGTGATCAGCTACCCTTACTGTGAGTAAGGTCTTCCTAAAGTCTCATCTCAGTCTCCCTCACCGCATGGTGCAGTGCCATCACAGAGCTGGTACCTGGGAGATTTGTATTTTAGCCCTAAATTGCCACATGCATGCTGCTTTAGCTAAGCCAGTAACTAGTCTTGGCATCATTATTATGCCTCTCTACTATGTCTGGCAACTAGGGACCAAAAGTTTTGATTTCTCAAGGACATCATGTTGACAGCTCCATTAGAAGTCAAAATGAACCACATTTGATCAACACCTCTGGAAATCAGGCCTGACTGACTTTAAGCAGAGCCTGAAAACCAAGACACTTAGACAAGAGAGTGCTTTTAAAAATATGCACTTCTCTGAGTCTCATTTTCTTCATTGATACCAGTGAGGATATCAATAACTGTTTTCCAAAGTCCATAAAAAGATTAATTGATTCTCCATAAATTGGAAGGAAAAATGTACTTTTTAATCACCAATGTGATTCCAATTACCAATTGGAAAAAAAATGTGGATTTTATATGGAGAATATCTGATTTTACTGTTACTAAATCATACCAACATGTTTCTGACTTCCTTATGTACTCATGTAGTTATCTGCACGATTAATATTAAGATACATTTTATTACCTGCTCAGATTCTATTTCATTTTTTCAGTGTTTAATTTTTCTTTAAACATTAATGACAACTTTTATGAAAACAAGGAAACTATCAACAAAAAAATCAGCCCAAACATCAGTGAAGATTTCAGAAGAGAAAACTGGTTTTTGTCCATGTTTCTAGAGGCCAAGAACTTGGACATGTTATACATGTTATTAACTAACATATCGGGGGGGAAGGCTGGTTCTTTAACCTAAGCAAGTGGCTAAGAGGCAAGACATGAGTGGAACAAACATAATTTAGAGATGTGCAAGTAAAATTGATAGTACCAATGGGATCCAAAGGAAATATTTATTTTTAATTTCTAATGTGTTATGCAGAGTAATGTTGTTTTATGTTATGTTACATCGTGTCACATCATATGTCAACTTGATGCAGTGCAGTTAAAATAAAAAAGAATGTATTTTGGACTGGATAGCTGAACGTCTGATCCAGATTTTGCTTTTTTCTTTAATAACCAAGGAAATAAGGGAGGGAAAATCTATGTAAAAACAGCCTGAATAATTGATTTTCTGATATCGCTGTGTAAAATATTCTTGAAGGGTTTGCTAGAATTGTGGGTTTAAAAAAAAAAATCCCCACCCTGCAAGAGTGTGTGCAATAACTCAGGCACTGCCAGTAGGAAGAACTGGTTGGCCTAGAAATAAATCTTAAATACCGGGTGTAACAAGACTGCAAAAGACAGGCAACATGAAAAGAGTTCCTGACATTTTTAGGTTTTGGGTTGTTATTTATTTCCTTTTGGGAGAGTTTCAATCACATCATGTTTTATGGGTTGCTGCTTTTTTTTTCTTTTTTTTTTTTTTTTTTTTTTTCCCCTTCTGAAACAAACCAGTCTTTCTGCTTGGCTGTTTTTGAAATCTATTGGAAGCACCAGTTCTCTAGTTAAGATTGTGTGTGACTTGCTCCACTGTCGGGACATAGTGGATGGAGAGGTGTTGCTACGTCACCAAAGCTATGTTCCCCAATGCTGGAGTATGAATTTTGCTAGCTTGTGCTAACAAGGCATAGGGTCACGGGTGAAGATCCTTCCCTTTTTTTCCTACAGTAAATTGTTCCCAGCTTATTGCAGGTACTCTGTGTCTCTATCAACTGTCTAAAGTAGAGTTAGAAAAGGGCAATTACATATGATTCTTCCCCCTAAGACTCCACCAGCCTCCAACTATTTTCAGTTTAGGGACTTTCTGAGCTAGACATTGTTTCTCTTTATTTGGGAACATTTGATAGACTTCATTTCTGTGAATTTTTCCAGTCTCCCCTTGAACCAGATGTTTTTAGCACCCACAACATCCTTGGGTAAAGTGCATGAAGAATCACTACCTCTTGCTTGTTTCAAACCTGGCATTCATGATCTTTGGTGTCTTCTTTTGCTCATCTACATATGCACACGAAGGCAAATATACCCATTCCCTCCTGTCCCTGAAAAACAATGATTTTTCAAAGGAGGGCCCCAGAGCTATGTTCAGGAGGCTGTGATTGTCAAAGCACCTTAGACACTCAACTATGATTAATCATTATGGGGAGCTGGCTGCAAACACCTCTAAAGCTCTTTTGGAAATCCTGCATTTAGACTCCCAAATCAGTGTTCAAAACTTCTGGCTTTCATAAAAGCTTCTGGAAGCTCGGCAGTTTTCACATTTGTTTTTTGAACAACTAAATATGGACTTCACACTTTTACATTTGACAGTCTTAAACTACATGTGTGATTCATGCAGTTTGCTCAGCTCACATCTAAGACTCTACAGCTTACTTGAAAACTAATAATAATAGTATTTAGGTACTAAAGTGAATACTATAGAACTCTTGGCAAAGGCACAAATCATGTGCCCAATTCAAATGAAATAGTGAATTTCATTACAAAAACAGGGAAGGTAAATGTGGGCAAGGAGCACTGTTTTTTGAAAACACATCTCTGTACAAAAAAGGAAGCTGAAAAAGCAACAGCAAGGAAAAGAACATTTTCACATTCCCTGAGATTTAACATACTTTCATAAGGAAAAAAAAAGGTTATGAAATCACATCCTGTTTTGGTCAATACGGAGGGATAAAAGTCTGAAAGACAACTCATTTCTACTATGTAGTATGCTGAGTAAAGGTAAGAAACACTTATTGAAATAAGTGGTTGCCAAAAAGTACCTTTCTGCCTTCCACCCCATGCCCCCATCCCCCTAGACAGTATTTAGCCTTTCTAGAAAGGCGAGATATATATACTGCTTGGTGGAGGCCAGACAGACAGTGCGCACACACATCCTGACCAGCCAGAGAACATGAGCGTATTGGCTGGGCAATTAGCACACTTGTAGCTCCAGAGCAGCCACAGGATATATTGTCTCTAAGCTGGGTTTATTATTTGTTGGGATATAAAGGAAATGGGACACAAATCCATAGGAAACCAGGCTCTGTTAGCTCTGGTGCTCATGGAATAGCTTGTTTTATTTTTTCAGGAGATCAGAGCAGTCAATTGAAGTCCAAGATGTCCAGATGTCTGGTCGCACTCTTCTGGGTTTGTAGCTAGTTAAGAGTGGCCAAGAAAAATATACTTTAAATTATAACTAAAATTGGTTTGGACACTTTCTAAGTAAGGAGAAGGAGGAAAAAATACAAGTTTACCAGTTAAGGGTGTTCTGGTTGCACATCTATAATTCAAAAAGATCTCAGCTTTTTAAAAATAAAATGAAACTTTGACTGCAATTAGCCCATATGCTGAATTAAGCCCTAAATCAAACAGAACACATTATTAACTTTTGAAAACTAGCTACAGAACACGCATAATAGAATTTCATTAGCTTTTCTGTAAAAAGTGCATAGCCATAGAGTACTTTCCTCTTAACTGCTCCATAGTGCAGCCTGATATAATACACATTACAAGGTGTGGTGTCAAAAACTCCATGGGAGTCTTTATGGTCTATTTCATAAATAAAATAGCTATTCCAATTTGTCCAAATACATATTTGTACAGTAGACCATCACAGCTGAAACAGCTGAAGAGGTAAATCATGAACAGCATTCCAGCATGAATAAACAATTGCAGTCTTTTTGGTGATGTATTTCTCCATGGCAAGGAAATAACACAAGAAACAGGACCAGCAGTAGCCTATGTGATCCTTTAGTCCCACTCTCTGCTCTCACAGGTACCTACAATGCATAACCCTGCCTTTTTTCTTCCTTTGTTTTTTTTTGCTTTGAAGGGTCAGCACTTTTTTTTCCACTATTTCTAGAAAAACATAAAAAAAAGGATGCAGGAAAGTACTGACCTTTTACTCCTAAGGCTGAGTCCAAATGCCCCTGAGTTTGGATTAGCTTCATTGGTCATTTTGTCAATTAAAAAAGCTGCAGAATGATTTGTGATGAATGAACTTTTCTGCCCCAAAAGAGGCCTTTACTGCAAAATCAATCATGTGTACTGCTAGACCTAGATGACTGCAGTCCACTTTGAAAAAACTTCATCCATAAAGCCTCACAATGACTTGGGTAAGACTGTGTTAGGATTATTGATCATGATTAAAATATTTCTACATGGTTGCAGTAGGAAGCTTTCATACTGCATGCTGTAATTTCAGCAAGGCCTATCAATTCTTCTTTGTCAAGAACAAAGCTTTATCCTCCATTGCCAATTCCCATCTTAGTCTGGAGTTGAGAGCAGTCTGTTAATGTTATTTGAACTCAGGTTTAGTGTTTTCTTTTTTTAATATGAAAATGACCTTGGTCTAACATAGGATTACTAATTTATGGAATTGACGTCAGTGGTGATTTTTCTAAATCAAGCCCAAAAGAGTACATTTCATTACATTTTTACAGCAGCATAAACTAAACTGTTGAATTTTCCACTGCTATGACCACTGTGTTTAATTAGTGATAACTGTACGCCAGCCATGGACCTTAAACAGCAACATGCCAAAACCAACCCTAGTTAACTTCGGCAACAGTAGACAAAAGAGACTCTCCAGCCCCTTAGGAGACGAGGTACTTTTTCTCTCTGCAACAAACTGCTTTGAAAATAATCCTTTGGTTATTTTTTTTTTTTTCAGTTTAAAGTGTATCCTTTAACAACGTGACTGTTTTTGACCCACTTCATAGAAATTGGCTGCATTTAAACCATACTTAAAGCTCTCCTGTGTACAGTATGTTCTTGTGCCTCCTATGTTGTTTTTACTTTGGAAAATTAGTATCTGCTGGACCGCCAGAAATGTCTGGTGTGTTAATATGTGGCGAAAGGATCAACATGAGTGGGTGGGTGAGGGAAAGGGCTGTGCACGTACATCTTATCTCATCAGAAACTGGCTGAGTTAGTAAAGTTTCTAATTACTATCTGAGATAGTGATCATCACTGAAATCCTTATGCCTTTTGCCTGTCTTATGTCATGATGAGATTTACAGCACTTCTGGCGCAAAGGTGGAATTGGTTCCTTGCAAACGGCAACTGTTAAAACGCTAATGTTAAAACAGCTGGTGGTAGCCACCACTGCTGTATGACAGTGGGTATTTAAACTCTTTGATTACATTACCTGATAAAAGCTGGGAAGAACCTTTTAATCATAAATGCTTAGAATCAGCTCAGCATCAGCTCTCCTCCAACTACTAAATGGGTCCATAGTGAGACACCTCTCAAAAAAGGACCCCTCTGTTTCATGTGCAAAGGAGGAGCATGCAGGACAGTGCAACGAGCCTCTCAGCCTCACATACAGCCAGTGCAATGCAGACAGGACCCATAAGAAAAGACTAAGGGAATAAGGTTGTTTATCCTGAAGGCTTCAGGGAGACCTAAGACAGAGTAGTCTGCCAACACCTAAAAGGAAGTTGCTGGGAAGATGGAGCCATGCTCTTTACAGATCTGCATGGCAGGATGACAGGCAACAATGGTCTGCCCTTAATTTCACGTGTCTTATAGTCATGACCATTTCCTTCTTATATCATCAAGAAGTTCTGACATTTTAAGTAACCTGGTTCCTAGAAGAGTTATTTTTACTTTGAAGAAATCTGGTTTTTGCATCCTTCTCCTATGAAACAATTATCACAAGTCATCATTCTCTGGCAGCATTTCTGAAGGAGTCACACAGCCTTCTTTTTAACCCCTTACAGTAGAGCATCTCCAGTGCTTTGAGGGAATAGCTACCCCCATTATTTTTCTCCCCCTCTTATGTTACAAAAGAACACACGAGAAAGGTTAAATGAGACTGAAACATAAGAACAGAGGCAAGATAGAGATCGATAAATTCATGACTAATGACACATCGCGTTCGAGCAGAAGTCTATGCAAATTTCTTCTCCCTTGAAACTGAGCTAACATGAAATCAGCTGCTGGTCAGTTGAATCCTCTTTCATTTCTCCCTCTGCTCAGTGTTATTTCAAGTGTTTCTGAGGTTGCCACTTGTATTTAATTTCATTTTGATACTGAAGACTTGCAAACTAGATTTATTTTATCACAAGTTACATGTTTCAAAATAGTTGAGCTGCGGAGTAGGAAAAACAGATGTTTAGCATAAAGAATTTGTGCAATCCACGAGCACCCAGAATTGAGCCGATCAGCAAAACCGGTTTGATTTTAGACAAAAGAATAGGAAACATTCTCCTTAAAAACCTGTTCCTTCTTTCAGAATCCTCCTTCCAATAAATCATAAAACCCCATTTTAGCAGTCTGTTCCTATTTGGTAAAATATTTAAACATGTCCTGAAGGAAATACATAATTGTATCCTGTTAACTTCAGTGAAGACAGGTCTCCCTGTTGACATAAATAGTACAAGTTTAAAGATAAGTATTTGTGTAAGTGCTTTGCTGACTAGGAGAGAACACAAGTGATATCATAAGATGATCATTCCTGAAGTTAAAAAGGGATAAAAAGGTGATGGCTGAGCTAAACATCATACAGCCAGAAGGATAGCTTTCTATTGTACTTTCCACTGCTGCCCCAGACTGTCTCAGATTTCTGCACACCTTTTTTTAACTCTCACAAATGATCTGCAAAGATGTTGGATTATACATACACATAGCTGTGCTGTTATTTACAGGTATAAAAGGTATTCAATCCTAAAAGTTACAACTCTATTCATTTGATTATTACCTACAAATTTCACAGCCCAAATATATCATTCAAAAAGCAGCACCTCAGATTTGACAAAAATACTGTCATTTGGAAAAAAATAAAATAAAATAAAAATAAAATACTCAGGCATTTTATTTTAAATTTACATATTTATAGGAGGCAAAATCTGTTACCATGAATAATCATCTGCCCTCTAGCCACCTTTAAAAAGAAGGCCAAAAAGCAAATGCACTGCTACTATATTTATTTTCTCAGAAAGAATAAAAAAGAATTTTAAAAATGTGAAGAAAGAACTTACTTTCAGTGCAAATAGGACAGCATCCTTTTCTGTTCAGGATTTTACCCTAATTGGGAGAAAGACAGGCTGATTTAATGAAAGAGTTTTAGGAGCAACGACTGTGTTGTGTTGTAAGGCTGGATAAGCCTTTGAAAATAGTTCAGTTGTGTCTGAACTCAATGCCCTGGTTACAGCTTCAAATATCAGGTGTTAAAAACAGACAGAACTATTCAAAGAGCTTCCTGGCAGTCTTATAAGAAATGCAATACTAAAAGGGTTCTCTGTTACCACTTCTCTCTTTAAAGAGAGTGTGAGAGAATTTTGGACTCATGTATTCACGGATATCTAAAGCAGACCAGTCAGCAGGTTAACAGGATCACTACCTTTTCCCCCACCTCCCAAAATACATACAATACATTTCCTATGCACACCCTTTTAGTCACCACACAGAGGCAATCTGCTCCACAACCAACTCCACACTCCCCACAAATCATTCATTTTTCCTACAAAAATGAAGGAAGGAAGGAGGCACTGTTAGAGATCTATTTTGGCCAGATTTCTTTCATGGCTAAATCCTGTGGTATCTCTCACCAAATCATATTACCAGTCATGGACTAATCTCCTCAATGAAGCAAATGGGCATGCATCCAAGGATGTGCAATGTCTAAAAGCAAACAATTTGGTCTAGTCATAGTAATATGAACAAAACGTCCGAGTCTTTATTTACCACTCTGCCCAGATCAATTTTATTCATGGTCTTATACAAGGCTGGCTAGAAGCAGGAGGCATGCCTCTGTGTACGTACATGCATGATCCTTTTCAGTCTTCACTGAATTAAAAGATGCTCTGTCTGATTTTACTTGAATTACCTAGAGCTAACCAACAAGCTAGAGGATAAGCCTGGAAAATTTCAGACTGAACGATGTGTTTTTCCAAGCAAACACCATCATAGGTTATAACAGAACTTATGGTGATATTAGAGCTCACCTGCATTCTCATACAGAGAAGGAAGAGGCATATGAAGCTGTGCTGCTTCCCAGCACTGACGCTTTGCTCCAACAGCAGTTGAACGCAGAGCAAGTCCCCTTTATGGGACCACTGCTCCTGTTCCCCATCAAGAAGGTGAGCAAGGAGCAGCCAGCATGAGCAAGCAAATGGAGCTGTGCTATTCTGCCCACTTGACAGTGCAGAAAAGCTCATCAAAACAACAACAAGAAATAGGTGGCATGTTTATGCAGGGAGCAGGGAAGTGGGCACAGGCAGCAAGCCCTACTGCTGTCTGCCTTGCTTTCTGCCTGCAGCACTGCCATGCTTTGACAATGTGCATTGGGAGAAATGAACTCCAGCATCTGCCAGCAGACTGGAGTGGAGTGTGGTCCGTCCTGCTCATGCTTGATGTACCCAGATGGCACGAATGAGAGCTTGGTGATGAGTGCGCTTGGGCTCACCATCCGCAGGGCATAAAAGTTCAGCATAAGCATGTCTTTGAATGTGCAACTGCATGTGAACAGACTTGAGGCATGTCTGGACTTGAGAAAAGGGCTGGATCAGTTTCATTGGCAGTGTGGGCAATGCTTAGATGTTTGTGTATCCACCAGGTCCCTGAGCAAAGAGAATACCTGAGGACCAAGCTGCAACAGGGAGACCTACCAAGCACCTGCTAGGACAAAACCCCTTAAGGGAGGAACCATTAAAATTGTACAGAAATAGGGAGCTTGGCAACATTTATTTATATGAACAGAAGACATGGAGCTGAATGCCACACACTGCACTGCACAGCCTTACCTCTCCGTTTCAATAAAAGGGTTGAAATCATCAGCCGAGCTGGAAGTGGCAAGAATTCAAGTGAAATTGGAATCTCCAAGGCAGCCTGCTGAGGCTGGTTACTTGAGCCACCATGTTGGCCCAGGATCCTGTTTTTGTCTTGTAGAATAAGGAAACCCATTATTGCTAACATGTGCTGCAAGAGTTCGTTAGCATTGAGGGTTCCCTTAGGATCGGGCTAAGTGATGTGATCCCATTTTTCCCTATGAATATTTATAAGCAGACCACATTTGAGTCTATTTATTTTCTGGGATTTTTCTTCTTTTTTATGAGGTTTTCAATTTTATGTCTGAGGTTTTTATTTTCTATTTTTTTTAAGGCAAGACTAATTGTGGGGGGGAAGGGGGTTGTTTGGTTGTGCAATAGCAACAGCTGTTGTTTTTTTGTGCCTCATTTGGCACTAGAGTAAAAACAGCAACTTTTTGTTTGTAATAATAACAGATGTGTATAACATTAAATGCAGTCTGTTCTAGAGATGGGAGAACGTGTTCTGAATGAATTTTCAACTCACTTGAAGTTCACAGGTTCAAATTTTACCCACAGAATCGAACTCTGAAAATGTCTTCACATGCTGTAAATTTAATTCTATCAACTTTTGCACAGCCTTGGAGCTCAAAAAGGGCTGTATGTTGTAAAATTCACCATGGTCTCCTCTAGCAGTACAAAAAGAGATATGTCTATCACCACTGACCGTTACCACAGGCTTACATTGTTAGTAGGGAATACAAAGGCATAAGGAGAAGGAGGCAAGGAAGAAAATGGTAAGGATGGGTGATCAGAAAGGAGATGGTACAAGGCAAGGAAGAGGCTGGAGCAAGACTAGGGCAAGTGAATAGCAAATTAGTTAAGAAAAGGTCTAAAGGATCTCTGAAACTCAGTCTTGCCCAGTATTGAGATTACTCCCTTTCTATAAAGTGTTTAAGCATGTGTTTAAGTTTAAGCACACATAGAAGGGCCTACTAACTTCAACAGGACTGGACACACGCTTAATAACCTTGCTGGTTGGGGGCCACCGTGTACCGCACCTTGCAGGCAGACACTCCAGGTAACTGAGAGAATATCTGTATGGAGTCAGCTGACACAAAATAAGAAACAGAAACCACAAGCCACAAGGCTCACTAGAAGCCCAAGGAGCACTGATTTTACTATAAATACAACAGGAGAGATTGAATTGGTGAGATGTATTGCCTCCACCACAGATGAAAAGAAGCTAAGAAAGACACTTCCTGTAACTACTGATACAGGATTAAATGCTCCAAAAGGAAAAGAATAAAAGAAACAGAAAAGTATGCCTAGACCTATGAAGAAAATGAAAGAAAAGCAGAAATAGTCTTCAAATATATGTCAGCTTGCCACTAAAACATTGAATAATACAAATGCTTGCACAATATTGGAAATTTATGCAGAATTACCACTTTGAGAGCCATCCTTTCAAGAAATAATTGGCCAAAATCTATGTTGATAAATTAAATAATATTCCATCACCAAAAAACCCATAACATCATGCAAAGAGTATTAAGACTGCATGGTAAAACATTTGAGTCAAGGAATAATATTGTAAGTTCCTTGTGAATCTTCAATCCTTTCACACTCATTTGTGTGTATCATAACACAGTTTTAATGAGATAACTTCATGTGGTCTGACACCCTAAGAGACACTAAACAGCATTTTATTCCACAGCAGTCTTCAATAGTCAGTAGAGACTACTTTCTGCCAGAAATATTGTGAAGAGAGAAAAGACAGAGTTCATACCCCTACAGTTTGCAGAGACAGCAGCATAACTCTATGCATGATATCCAGACTTTCATTATCAGAATAACTAATATATCTTTATCTTGAATAATGTGGTATGTTTAACTAATGTTTAGAGCTTTGTGACAGAATATTTCATCAGAGTGGAGCACAGATGAAAAGTAAAAGAGTTAAATCCATTAGCATACATTATTTGCTTTAAAATTACTTGGTACCCACTTGGAACAGGAAAATAAATCTCATTCTAGAGTTTACATTCTTTCTCCTACTTTTCCTTCCAATATAGCTTGGAAGAGCAGAAATTTAATGTTTACCTGTGGAGGAGGGTGGGTTTGTGTGCAGCTTGCTGTATATACTCCATTTTAAGGCAGGGAGCAGGCTGAGTGGTTAGATACTGGAGGGAATCGTGCTGCAGGGTAACAAAGATGGTCTTTTCAGCCCTAAGGAACTGGACCTTGTCTGAGGACTCAACTCACAGGTCTAGAGCGGTTTAGGGATTCATGTTAACCTTGGAGCAGATCGTGTAGCAGCGCTGGACGAGTTTGTCAGTCGATTATGCTGCCATAGGACTGCAGATGGTGAATTTTTGCCACTATTTCTTTTTCAAAGCCACTTCATCTGATCATCTCAATGCTCAAATTTATATATGGGTACTGCTGAAGTAGTACATTTCACTTAAGATCTATATTAAGCTGTATTAGTTATTTGATCTCAGAAGCATCTTAAACGTTCGAAATGCATCAGCACAGGGAAAATATAAATGAGATGCAGTGTATGCCAGGTTCTCGGCCAACAAAGAATTTGAAGAGACCTTAAGAGTCCAAGCTCTCACCTCCTGCTTATACTGTGAGTGGCCTGAAGGGAGAAACTTGATTACCATGAACCACATCAGGTTCCCAGAAGAGCAGCTCCATTTGTTCATACTTCCTAAGATACATGCAGTATCTCACGTAAGGTCCATTAACAGTAGAACTGCCCTCTGCAGTGAGTGCCAGAGTGACAGGAAAAGGATGTCCCCTCCAAGTATTGCTCTTGCAGCCCACTGTCACAGCAGGACAGGGAGTGCCAAGGTACAGGCTCTCTATTCTAGCACCTCTTCTGTCTGTCAAAAGTTCACATGTACAAAATTTTGCAAACTAGAGTTGGTCATTTAAAATTTTATACCTAGCTGTCTGTGACTCATATTTTCCACGCTCCTTCCCGGATGGAGAAGGAAACACTGAGAAGGTGTAATGCTAATGACTTGGCTCTTTCTTCTGCAGTTCTGTTTAAAAATCTGCCCCTACATGAGGTGCTATTTAGAGCTCCCTCTTCTGAAAGCTTGAGCCATTAAAACAAAATAATTTTTCAGTGACAGAAGTCCAAGAAACAAAGGCTGTCTTTAGCTCACGGTTTCAAGTAATGCTACTTTTTGAAGCACTTACTTAAGTAAAGTTACAATTACGCTACTCTTTGGGTTTACTTCAGTCTTTGAAATAAATAATACTCAGGCTCCAACCTTAGAGAAAGCAGCATGACTTGATTGAAATAATTTACTTTGTCTAATTTACATTTTCAACCAAGTATTTTGCCTCATATGCACTGAGAAATGCAAGCACAACAACCTCTTGTAGCTTGCTTTAAAAATATGCATGCTCTTGAAATATTAACAGAGTCATCTCACCACTCTATAAAGCTGTTAAGTATATGTGAAAGAGTTGTTCCAGTGTAGACACTTGGGACAGAGAAAGTTAAAAGGAAGAGGAGAAAAGGAGCACAGAGTCTTCAGAGAAAGGACAGAGGCAGGAAGCCCACATTCAGGGTAGCAGTAGCACACTTGGGGAATGCCAGCCTAAATTAATATGCCAGAGGATCCTTTCTTTCCAATCTGCATGCACACACTTCCAAGAAACACTGAAAAAGATAATGGTGGAGAAAAAAAGAGAAGAAAGCTCTGCTCTTTTAAAAAACTCACATGAGGACAGCTGCTGACTGGAATGCACTGTTTCTTGCGACACTCTGTCTTGCCTTTCACACAAGCACAGATGGTGCAGTTCACAGAGGACCACATCTCTCCATCCTGCAAGAGGGAACATGATATAGTATCAGCTGGGGTGGCAATAGGAAGCTATTTCAGCAATGTATCATTGCACAAGAAAGGATGACTTTCCCTGTTGGCATTAGGTCATTGTTTAGTCTAAATTATTTTGAGGTGTCTGTCCACAGCCAGTCAGATTAAAGACAAAGATCAAATTCAGCAGGGTTTTCTTCCCTTTGGCTCTCTAGGTCAGAAATTCATTTTTCCAAGGCTAACCAAATCACATTTGCATTTTTCATCAGTGTCTTGATTATTTGCATTGTTTTTCTCTCCAGTATGTGTCTAAGATGTGATCACACCTACCACAAATTTTCATTTAAGATCACATAATTAGAAAAACCTGATTCATTGGGTTGAGTGACATCTCTAAGTTGTTGCACATGAAAGTATTTGATTAAGATGTCAGTATATAGTGAATTTATTCCCAGATGCAGCATCATTTTGTCTTAGGGCAGGAATGGTCGAATAATGAATTCTAATTTAGATTACTTACAGCACTTTCACAGATACTTGATCTGCTAAACATCTGAAAGTGTTTAGAAGAGATACAGTGCTGAATTTCTCAAATGCAGAGCAGGTAAGACAGTCTATGTATGGCTCAGAGTATTAGGTGCAGAGCAAAATATGCCTCATGGTCTTGTCCCCACTTACTTGGGAAAGATTGCTTGTGGAACAGCCCTGGCTCCTTTTTACATAGTGTTGCATTTGCCAAGTGTGGTTCCTCAAACATTCTGTCTTACCCACTTACAGTCTTGTGCTAGCCTGCTTAGAGCCAAGATGTGCATGTTTTCTGTTTACAGGGCTGCTATGAAGGAAGGGTGAGGATAGACCTAACAAGAACAGGCAGTCCAACCAGACAGCTGTGAACAATTACGTGCCCACCTCAACATGATGTTCTGACCAGAGAGAAAAACAGACTAAATCTGAAATGCCAAGGAGCCTAACTTATTCAGTGCAGCATGCTTGGTCAAAGGCTGTCTCTCCCCTATCTTTTCTTTCCAGACCATGTTACGATTGCCTGGTGTTCCTGACGCAGCGTGTCTAATGACCATTCACCAAGCATCTGCTAAGGTATCAGAATATATCACAGATGACTGCATGCAGCTACCCTGACTTCTTTGTCTCATAGCTGTTTTTGCACAGGAGTGCAAAATCACATTTGCTGTGCCCATTCTACCTGTGAACACTAACTTCAACAGAGCGATGCTGCATTTATCTTTTTGTACAGGAGGCCAGAAATGGGTGTACTGTCTTGTTATTTTTTCTTACTCCATATAACACTTAGTAATATAATAAAATCTTCACAAGAAGCAGAATATTTTAGTTGGGTGACTAAGAAGCAGGCATTTGTTCCTGAAGCACAATAGTACCAGTGTGCAAGTGCCAATCAGATGGAGTATAGTCTCAGCGTACAGTAGGTTCACATGTAATTTCCAGAATAAACACTTCAGCTATGTACACAAAAGATGGATTAAATAGGAATAATTCTGGCTGAGCAAACCAAGCATTCACAAAGGATTTAACATTTGATCTGATTCAAGGGTCTCTTAATTCACAGATGGCCCATGAGGTGACAAAATCTTTTTTCTTACACAGTGTGAAAAAACCTGCACCACTTGGAAAAACAAAGAGGGTCTCAGCAATAGCAGAAGTTTTCTGTGGGGAATCCCTTGTGATTTGAAAACTTTGGGTGAGAGTGCAGTAGGTAACAGCTATTACATGACTATCCCAATAGAAGATGTCAGGGGTGCTGTCCTTAGCAGAGATGTGAAATGTAATAAATCAAGATGAGTAACTTTCAGCTAAGATGAACTTCGCAAAGCTCCTGTTTGGCTCAGCTATGGAAGAGACTCTTTGGCTCAGCAGATAAAGCCTACATACCATTTGTAATATCTTCTCCATGAATATCAGTGTTTGTCTGGGAAAGCAGAGCATTACTATCTCTTACTAAAAATGCATTACTTGTCATGAAACAGCAGCTTGAATCTCTGCGTAGAGAAAGGGAGATAACATGTCACATCAAGGAGCAACTAATCTTTAACTGCTGTGGATCATCAGAATTTACACAAATTCAGAAAAAAAATAGCAGATGGCAAATTTGGCAAAGCTTTACCTCGAGCAACTAGAATTGGATCATTGGATCAGCAACTAGAAGTGGATCATCAGAATTTACACAAATTCAGAAAAAAAATAGCAGATGGCAAATTTGGCAAAGCTTTACCTCTGAGTTGCTCCATCATCAAGCAGGTTGGTGAGGATTCTGCTAAAAAACAACCCACAATACTAATTTACAGTAAACAGTGTTGTTTCAGCTGTTATAATGGCATCTCTTCTTGAGTCACACCTGAAACTTTACCTGGAATATCTTATTGCCAAACTTGCACACTTTCATTTCCTCAGGAGGAACATATGAGACACATTCCTTGCAGCAGTGGTCTTTGTTTTTATTGCGTTCACCAGGAAGTAAGCACCTCTTCTTACATATCATTGTTGAATCCTAGGTAAAAGGACAAAAGGAAATAATGAAATCATCATCAAGATGTTTGTGCTCCTATGTGTCTTTACCATAACATTTCTGCTTGCTCAGTCATTGCATCCACCCAAGCCACAGCCCAATTGCTTTGAATAGGTCATCTCAGAGAAAATAAAAAATAACTACTGGATTAAGGGAATCTTTCATGGTCTGTGAAGCTAGTACTTGTAGGTAGTACTATCATGTACTTCTATCAGCCTATAAAATCTTACTGATTTGGTGATACACTCATTTTTTTGCCTAGGTGCAAAAGTGCAAATGGACACAGTCATGTTAGAGGAACTAAATAAAAATTACTGCCCTTCAGCAGAGATGTGATAATTCACCATTTAGAAACTCCTCTTCCACTGTAATGCAAACTTTAAAAGGATCACATAATCTGAGTAACTTCATTTTTCTTCACACAGTGTCAGGCATCATGTCTCAGCTGAGACAGTCAGTAACATTTTAAACTTTCCTAGCACAACTGCAAGTGCTCTTCAGATCAGATTCTCAGGGACCACACAAGATGACAAAGAGGAGTATCAGGGCTTACAGTTCCACAGCCCTACAAATTATTGCTAGGCAGGCAATCACCAGCACACAATACTGGGGCACTGTGGACTTACCTTGCATGTACACATTGTGCAGTTGTCATAAGTAAATGAGGACCCATTATCATACACGTTGCTGTGAAAGAGGCAGCTTCCAAATGGGAGGTCAAACACTTTCCTCTGTCCTGTATATAAATAAACAGTAATAAAAACAGAATGTGGTTGAAAAGATGTCATATTGTCAACAAAAATAGTAGGGCTTATTGTCACCAGAACAAATTCATGTGCGATGTGTCATTTGCTATGTGTTTCCATTTTGGTGTGAAAAAAATATGTACTTTTAACAGTTCACTGTTCTTCTAGCACACATTCATCCATACAATTTCTACTGTGGGAGGAAATATAAATATGATTTATGGCATGTTTATATTGGAAAAATCTTTCTTCTCCTTCTCATCATAAAGTGCACAGTGCAGCTAAAGGAATAAAAAGTAAGCACTGTAAATTCTTAGGGTAGGTACACTTAAACCAGCTTAAACAGTCTTTAACTTCATGCAATAACTTAATCAAATAAAGCAGCCTTAACTGGTTTTAGCATATCTACCTCAGGGGTTCACAGCAGCCAAATTAAATCAACTCAATAACACCGATGCAAAAAAAAAAAAATAGGTGTTGTCTGATATCATTAAGATAGCTTGGTATACCAGGTTCAACAAAGTTGCAAGAAATACAGGCATTTGAATCGTTTATGAGCAGAATGAGGGCAACACAAGATATCTGGGTTTCATGAGAGCAAGGCAAGGTCTAAAGCACTATACAGGGAAGACAGCATCAATATCAAGTCCTTCCTGAAGATCTGCAATCCTGCAAGCACTTTCAGATCCAAGTTGCAACACACTTTGCAGTTCTGCAAGCTGCTTATTCCTCAGCTTCTTTCCTAGCAGGTTGTTTTAAACAAGTGACCATTATGATACACAAACATGAGCTCTTTACAAAAACACTATACTTATCTTCCTGGTTTTGAATACCTTCCCTTGTTTACTTTTCATGGCAGCCAACTAATAAGTTATTTTATGAGTGGCTGCCAGGCTCTCAGCTTATCATTTCTGAGGTCTGATATTAAATAGGCATCAATTCCAAGATAGGGAATAGCCCCTATAAGTACTTACAAGAAGTCACTAAGTACTAAGCCAATATTTCAGCTCTCAAACCACCAGATCATGGCACACTATAATTCTTTCCCTTTTCAATAATTCTTGATAAATGTAGAACAGCTTAAAAGGTTCCATTTTCTCTGAGATATAGGTGAACAAAAGGATAAACACACAGAAAAATCTATTGGATTAGCCTTGAGTTTTTAAAAATCTAATGTTAAGATAACTATTAAGCAAAAGTTAAGAAATAATTGCTATTGTTCAGTTAGACACAATCTGAACAACTCTCTCTTGCAAATTAGCTACCTTCGACGAACCTGTGCTTGCATAACCAGCCTTCCTTTTACTGAATGTGCATCTTTCTAAAAAGGCTTAATTTCTCTTGCAGGACTGACATATGAAATCAGTCGAGGATTCTCAGTAGCCCTAAAAGGAACTGCTCTACATCCTTGCACTACTTATGGGCAAAGCCTAGCCATAGTCCCGCCTGTAACAACACTTCTACTGCTCTATGTGGGGCCAGGACTTCAATCCCATAACTTATGTCAACAAGTGAACAAAAGTCCAGCTCTCTCTCACACCCTCTTGCCATGCCTTGCAAACCACCCAGCACAATTCCGGGTGGCCAACCTAGTTCAAATAGTTGGTAAAAAAACACTGACAAAGAAGCTACCACTTTAAAAGATGTGGTGGTGAAGATATTGGCTTAATGGTCAGCTTTGCTGGCTCATAACCACTAGTTAAACTAAATAATTCAAATCCCAGTAGAGTCCACGGCATTATTCTAAGCTATATACGCTGAATATCAGGAATTCAATTGCAGGGAGGTCCTCCACATGATACTTTAAAAACCATGCCTCAGCATCCCTGAAAACATTTTTCTTTCCCAACTACTATGCAGTGTGCTCCACATCCCTTGGCTCTACATCCACTCCAAAACCTTCAACATTTCCTTGTGAATAGACATTATCTATTCACAGGTATGACGTGCTTTAGAGTGAAGACCACATAAAATGAAAATCATTATTATTAGTGAACTCCTTTGCAGACATTTCTAAGATGTGAAAAAAGAATCTGTAGAAAAATCCCCATGAAGCAGTCAAAAATTACGGTTAGGTTTTGAATCCCTAGATCAAGGAGGGGAAGATTCCGTTGGGAAAGGCATGGGGTGGAGAGTACAAGGGGAGTTTACAGAACAAAAGGAAAAATGTCCTCAGACAAAATAGAAGCTCAGCATTTGGACTGTTCTCCTCTCAGTTTCATTCCTCTACTGTATTATTCTCTGGTGCTGTAGTTAAATGTTCCAGGCAGATATTTATCTGTAGCATTTCTCAATTATCAAATAAACAAACAAACAAACAAACAAACTCAGGTTTGTTTCAAGCTACCAAAAATGTTAAGTACTACAAGAAGCTGGAACACTCTATGGCTTGCTGCCTCCAAGGCCAGACCTTTCTGTACCCCTAACCTAGCCCTGGAAACAGACTTTGGATAGTAGTAAAAATATGGTCAAAATGACAAAAAGTTTCTGTTGAAGAACTGGGAGTTATCAGCTCTGAAAATTTTCCAAACCTAGTTATAATCTCATAGACCAAATTAAAGCTAATTTACTTGGTAGGGTGTAAATGCTCCTTGTTTGTGAAATAGAGGGACACATGCTGAGGAATGTTAACCTGTGGGATCTGTGGACATGGTAAGAGCAAAATAAGGACTCTCAAAAGTCACTGTCTTCCTTGGCATGACTTGGAAGAACTAGCCCTTCTTCGAGGCCTCTGACACCTTTAAAACGTGTTGGAAAAACGTAACTGAAAATAGTTCTTGCTGACACTGATTCCACCTTAAGAAAGCAACTATGAGGCAGACTCCTGGGTCCCTGGCCTCTCTGGCAACAGCTTCTGAGAATGCAATTTCAGTCCAGAACTTTCCTCTGACCTGCATTTCCTCAAAACCAAGAATGCAAATGCACACCTGAACAAAAATATGAGAGGGTGAGGACTTTTTCTTGTGGCAAATTCCAACAAAACATTTCCTCCTGCCTCAACCTCCTTTGTAAAACGTGTAATGAAGGTGGGAAACATCTCTGTATTTGTTTCTTGAAGCAAGCCAACTGATCTATGCTCAAATGTTCTTCTGCGGCTGCTTGCTTAGTACCACCTATTGCAACCCTACACACTGACCCTGAGTACCAGTTTAAACCTGTAGATTATAAACTCCACTGAGCAAAACTGTCTCTTCCACCTCACAGAATTTACCAGTATTGTGAAATACTGGTTTAAAAGATGCTATGCAGAAACCTTAACATACTAATTACAAAATTCCCAGGAAAAACCATGACTCACCTAAGCATTTGGGGCAACACTGTCCAGCAGGAATGTGACTGAGGTGCTGGGGACATGACAGAATGGGGCAGACTTCTTGGATGCACTGTGTCCTGCCACCCTGAAGGAAAACAGGCTCAGTTAGAAAAAAAATAAAGCAAAATGTCAAGTAGACATGCACACACCAAGACAGACCAGTAACAAGTCTTGAAAAGCCTTAGCCAAAGCAGTATTTGCCAACGGAAATTTCTGCTTGCATCAGGCATACAAGGAGCGTGTACAACTGTCCTTCAATACTTTCTATAGTGCTTGCAGAGACCTTGGATTATTCATACTTTTTCATTCTCTCAAGCAATGAATGTAATAGTTGGAGAAATAATGTCTTTCTATCTTATTTCTTGGTGAAGGATAAGAAAAAAACAGAATAAAATCATTATCCATGAACCTTTCCGGATGTTCAAAAAAGTAATTGAGCAATTTTTTACATTATTCTTCACCTCCTGTGCTGTGCCCTTCTAGGCTTGTCTGGGACAGGGATTAAGAGCTGAAGCAAGATGAGAGCAGGTGTTCTTCCGCTATGTCCATGACCTCAGAAACCAAATAAGCCAAAATCACTTAAGAAGGCACATTCTTGTTAGCCTCCAAGTCAAACTATGCAAACCCAGAAGGTCTGCTTTCTTCAGAGGACTGAAAACCAAAAGGGTATATGAAATTTTGAGAATCAATGTGGCAAAAAAAGAAGAAAAATATAAGCAACCTGGACTGGATATATCCTGGTGTATCAATGAATATCAGAAACAGGGAGAGGCAAACAGCACAGCAAAGATGAAAGCACAGAAAATATGTGTAAGATAAAGTCTGTCAAAAGAAATCTTTGTTCTCATTCTGCTCTATTCCCTGTTTTTTTCACCATGCTTATAGAATACTGTGTTTAGCTCTAGACCATCTACCAACATGTGCTTCATACACCCATGAGAGGTCCAGGTTGTTAAACTTTAAAAATCAGTCCACCTTTATCTCAGCAAGAGAAGTCAGCCCTTTTCATCTAACTGCCCTGCCTTATTTATCACTCAGAGCTGCAGGCTCATCCCAACAATAAGCTTTGTGTTCCTGGATACTGTGATGGAAGACTTATGAACAGTCTCCTCCCACCTACGCTCTGGATGCCTCTCAGGGCTCCCTGGGGAAAGATGGAAAAAGCTGTTCATTTTTAAAAGCTCTATGCCTGAAATGATGCTATGCCATTCCTAATGGCCTCAGTGAATCATGTAAAAGTTTTTACATACAGGCAGACCCACATATACACTATTATCCAGAAAATAACATACTGACTGTACCCCCATTCTGTAATAAGTTTTCAGGCACTGAAGCCTACCTGTCCCGTGGGGCTAACGAAGCATCCTAAATGCACGTGGCTAAGGACTGCTCGTAATTCTTTCTCTGCAGCATGCAGGAGCACAGAGTTTATTGTAGACTGAAATGACTGCTCTAAATTAAGGGTCAGACCAGAAACTTGACAAAACAAAATGAATTCTTCACTGAAGTTCCTTATGATGCTGAGGGAATAGCTCTGTGAGAAGAGACACAGGTGCAGAATGAAAGAGAAAGTACCAGAGAAGGGCTCTCTGAAGCAGTGTAGTCATTCAGCACAGGGAAAAAGTCTACGAGAAGACAAAGGTCAAACTTTGGTGACAATTCAGCAAATGGGAAAGTAGGGCATGGAGACCTCAGCCAACCTAGTGACAGGATCAGAGATACATCCATGAAGATAAAGCAATGCTCCAACATATAGTGAGCACAGGTCCTTTCTTGCAACCTTGCTTCTGTATTTAATACTTACATATCCTAGGCCTCTGCAGAACCGCTCGGGACTTTTGCTTCTCTCACATATTGAATCAAAGCTCAGGCTTAGCACATTATTGAGACATTGCCTTTGTTGCCTGTTGTACAGATATTTTTTATAATACAAAATGCCATGGATAATAGGAAATATTTCTTCTTTTCAGCCTTTTCTTTATAGCTCCTTTTTTTTTACCTTTTGTACTGGCCCCTCCTCTGCACAAAACTAAGTCCAAGTTGCACCTCTCTCTTTATGCCACTGCTACTCCTGCTTCCAGCTGTAATGCTGCTTTTTAACAGCAAACTATTTTTTAACTTGCTGCTATTCCGGGCTTGAATATCATGTTAGTGTGCAAGTTCAAAAACAGTCTGAAGCAAATCAACCTGTACCATTTAAAGGAAGAATAATTCTACTTGCCCTACAGAGCTCAGAGAGATTTGGGCACTATAAGGAAATATCAAAACCTACACAATGTTTCTATTTTTTTAAAATTCTCAGTCACCGCAATTCAAAACTCACAAAGCATTCAGAATACTAGCTTTCAAAGCAGGATTAGCTAGTGCTGCCAGTGCTTTAAATTGCATGGAATAGAGCCGTGTAGGAAAAACAGTGCAACAAATGTTCAATTAAAAAGTCAAGGGAAAAAATAAAGCCAGAGAGCAAAAGGTTGGCTCTGGATGGTCTAAGCCACAGTGGGAACTGCACAGTAAACACCTTGCCTCCTCCACCTCCCAGCTTTTAGCTCACATTTCCCTGTTAAGCATAACATCTCCCAGGCAGTCAGAATATTCCAAGTCCGAAGCAACACCTTCCAGTAAAACCACACCTGAACTGGAAGCCAGCACAGACCAATAAAGCATAAGCGACATCTGCTTCCTGTGGAAATGCTATTCAAGAGCTGGGCAAATAAATCCTTGAGCGATAGTTACATGAAGCCTTAATCAGGGGATGCTGCTGCAGTCCATGGTCCTCTGGAGGGAGCAGGTGGTGTAAGAAATCTACAGTTTACAATGAAAAGATTAATTTTCCATCTCGGAGACAAAAACATTATAACTCCTGCTGCCACCTCACATCTGCAAAACAAAGCAAGAGGCTCCCTGGCATCGGCTCAGAGGGTGGTGTGGACTGAGGCATCATTTCATCTCAGCAGCTTTCTCAAGAGACAGAAGAGAGGAAGATGAAATAGTATTTTCCAACTCTTCCGCGAGAGGTCCATCTTTGAGAAAGACAGACGATGAGTCTTCCCTAAAACGAAAGCATGAAGCTAGTCTAGCTACCCATCCATCCACTTCTGCTAAACTCTTACCTCTACTACAATACTTCACTGTTCAATAAGGACACAAGAAGCTTGGCAGAGCTGAGAGATGCACCCATCCAGGCTGTGGCTGACTTTGCTGGAGACACTGGATGAAGGATAGACTGCAGTTTCTAGGCAAGCTACCCACATGCAGCCTGTGTGCTAGGACAGACGGGGAGAAAAATGTCTGCAGAAAAAACTGCCTGTCCAAAAACTCCCCAAAGGTTGGGAGGAGCCTGTTGCAATTAATGTCCAAGAGCCTTGGGCTTCATCTACCATCAGGGTGAGAACAGTGACCACCAACAGCAGAGCTTCCCTTGACATAGGCAGATTTTGAAAGCACTCATGAAATCTCAGTTTCCATAGTCCCAATTTTTTTTGCTACTGATAATGAGCATGTCTAATAATATTTTATATACATGTTATTTAATGTTAAAGGTTAACTTCAGTATTATCAAGAACCATGTTTCTTGTGGCCTTCTCATTTTCCATTTCTCTTTCAGGCTTTATCTCTGTGTTTTAATGAAGCTGTAAATCATCTAAAAAAGATTCCTCCCTAGTTTTGCCCTATGTTCACCTTGTGCTTGAAAGACTTTGCTAATCCTCCAACAAAAGTAAAATTTCCATTGATTTTGCAGAATATTTTGTCTAAGTGCTGGTATTAGGATTCAGCTCACAGTGCATTGTGGGCATTTATTTTTAACTTTCATTCTAGAAGAAGTGTGAAAGGTTCATTTGCCACCAGTGAGGCTATCCTTACAGGGAAAAAAATATATGAAGAAATATCAAAATTACATTTCTCTCAAATGCAGAGCATTTAGAGCAAGGTCAGGCACACACTGTAGCCTCAGCAGGGGTTTCTGTAAGAACTAAGACAGATGTTCAAGGTTGTCTCCAGCTATGAATAAAGATTTTATGCCACCAGCATGAAAAATACCTTTGAAAGTTCAACAGGGTCACGACTGAGCAAGTCTGTCCCATGCCAGTGGCAAGAGAAGCCAAATAAACACACAACTGTATGACTGTTTGTCTTTACTCCTCTAGCACAGTGTGGGTGACTACAGCCACCATGAACATACTAAGAGACATCATTTTTCTGACAGCAATAGCATAAAGGCAATGAATAGAAATCTGCTGATAAAAAGATAGATATATCATCTGAGATTCAGATGATGATGAATATTAACATTCTGAAAAAAAAAAGATTAAGTCATACCAGGACTCCTATTTCACTACACCACATTCATTTATGTGTCTAAGGCTTCCTACGTGAATTGGATAGTGTATTGGCTTGCATACACTTGCCTGACGTCTGTCTGACGTATTAACTACTGTGTGATAGTAAAGACTTCCACTACCTGCCAAACATGTATTAAATACATAAAAGAGGCCAGCAACATGTACTATGCAAACATCTTCAAAATGTCCCTGGAATCACATGCTTGTAAACCCATACCTTGAGTTTACAATCAGATGTACAATCCCTGATGTGTTATGTAATTAGACTTCAGGCACAAAAGTGAGAGGATACCATATTTGGAGTGTGGTTTTAATCTCGAAATAAAATAGGTGTTCTCCCCCAAATCAGACAAAAGGCACTCAGGTTCTTATAAGAATGCTGGTGCAGTATGTGGCAGATAGCCTCTGGGAGTAGCTTCAGCTTTACGCAGTATTTCAGGGTCTCTGAAACAGCCATGTCATGCACAGTGAGTTGCCTGGAAGGGTCATGGGAGGGAAAAGGTTTTTAGGAAATGCACAAAGTAGTGAAACAGTTCTCAGCAGAAAAGCAAAGAGTACATCAATCAGTTCAGCAAACAGACAGATAGACAAGCCAGAGCTTCCCACATCCCTGCAGCCTGATCTATTGTCTAGACTAGGATTTAAAAAATGCCTCTTTAGAAAGTATTGGATAAAATTCAGAATAGGAAGATCTTGAGCTTCTGTTCAAAACAGCATGTATTTACACTGCCTTGTGTGTGCTAGA